ATTAATGTGAGCATACCAGCCAGGGGGCACAGAGTTGAACAATGAAAGTTGTTTAGAAGATAAGCTGATGATGCACGAATCTTAATTTGTTATGGTAATAACTCATTTTTTGTAGTTTTGTGGGATATGCCAATTTTCCACTAAGCCCCTTAATTATATGTTTATATTTGCTTTAATAAACACAACTGTAAATAAAAGTATATTTAAAATTTTAAATATAATTTTATTTACTGTATAATTTAAAAGTCAGTATGTTTAATAAGTACTATAGATCTAACCTAAATAATTTAGACATAAAAATAAAGTATATTACATGTTATGCATTCAGTTTATTTAATTTACAATTTTTGATACAATTTAAAAAACATCATGTTATCTGAGTTTTTGATTATCCATTGGTCCACATTACTTTTGACAATTTTCTGGTTTGGGAGGTTTCTATTCCAGTTTTGTTTAACATAGAAAACTGATCTGTTCTAAAGAATTTTTTCCAATTCATTCAGGTTCCATTTTTGACAAGTTTTACTGTAAAAGCAAGCTACATATTTAGAAAAGTTTTGGTTTTTTTTCACAAGCAGTTTGTTTATATTTGAATTTAATATTTAAAGCAGTTAGATTCTTTATTTTTTAGAGTTCATTTTTTAATATTTATTCATTTTTAATATATATTCAGTCATTTTGTGTTAAACTCTTCTCATCTTATGGGATAATAAGAAGGCTATTCGAAACTGTTATTTCTAGCTAAAACTTACTACATAAATCCTACATCATCTTATAATATAATTGAGGTGGGTTGATGATGATGATGATAATAATAAGTGTAGAGCCCAAACAGTTATGAGTTAAAATTTGAAATTTGGTATACACAGTACGTCATGAGAATGTATACTGAGAAGGGAGTTTTTGAAATTCCCCATGGGGAGAGGGTTAAGGACTATCCTGAACTCAGCTTCTACTACACTATTTTAGGTGCAGAAAATTGAACATATTTTTAGACCCATCTATAAATTCTCTAATTAGTCTCAGAAGAGAGTGAACATAATTCTTCCATCTGGTGAAAATGGCTAAGATTGGATATAATCTAATAATCTTAATCTTCATTATCGTTACTTTTTGCCCGAGCAACACCAGGCTTATCTGGTAGTTTCCAATAAAATGATTTTTTCAAAATAGCTCGCTAATAACTACATGCTTGAATATACTAAAAATTTTACTATATCTGCAATATTTAATAACAAACAAATGCTCAATACTAGAAAGCATATCACATAACAGAAAAAAAAATTATGTGTAGTTGTAAATATACATACAAGTTCATAACACAGTTCTTTTAAATGCACAGAATTATTGTGAATGCATGAAAAATCCAGATTAACCAATTTTTCAAAATACTATACTAATAATAATTATAAAAATCATTTATAGATTGCTTCATGTGTCTTGGTCAGATGATGTGAGGTACTTGACAGGGGCTCTGAAAGTTTTGAAACATAAAAGTCCTTTTTGATAATGCATAGTAATCTTGCATTAGATTCATGAAACAATCTGTTCTCTTCACTAAGTAAATAGACTGGTTCCTGCTACTGCACATTTTTATAACACTGTCAAGATTTATAAAATGAGCTACAATTAATTTAACAAAATCACTTGTATAAAATATATATTAATAATAACCCTATAAGTTTTAATTATCATTCATGATTATCTAATGTAAATGGCATTTAATTCACCTCCAGCAACAGGGTTAGGAACCTTTGTCCCATGACAGTTTGAATTAAATAAAATATTCATATACTCAAAGTCTAGTTTGGAAGATATGATAATATAAAAAATTTATCATTTTGTTTATATTCTTTTATTTACATTTACTTAATATGAAAACTATATAATCAAAAGTGTTAATCTATTAAATATTATATTGATACTTTATACTAATGTAATAAGCTTAACATCTGTTTGTGTTTTCATGTAAAATTAACATAATGTGGGTAAAATTTACTCCTGCTCTCAATGACTCTGGTCATAATTTATAAATATACTATATTGTTGTTATATTATATCACAGATATATTATATTGTTAATCATTTAATATATTATAAGAACTAGTATGTTCTAAATGTTTGTTTATTACCTTTTTTTAATGGCACAAGGGCCTCTTGGGTATGTTCTACCTGTTATGTGTACATGTTATAATATACTTAAAAAAACTAACAGCACAAAACCTTTCTCACTAATTTCTAGCCTTATTAACTGGAGTACAAACGTTCTCGGCCTTCTTAATAGGCCTTCCTCGGGTACACTTATTAAGAAGGCCGAAAACGTTTGTACTCCAGTTAATAAGGCTAGAAATTAGTGAGAAAGGTTTTGTGCTGTTAGTCTTAGAAATAGTTCTAGCTACATATGCATAGTAGTATACTTAAAAAATTTTGCTTATTGTAATCAAAGTTTTGGTTATAGTTATCATTAATTATCTTAGGATAATTAGGCATTTTAAAAGCTGACTTTTCATGCTATTGGCATCAATACATGGCTGATAACATATAATTGTTATCAGTTATTGTTACCAGTCCTAATTTGTACTTTAATTGTACATACTCCATCTCAACTAAGTTGATGCCAACGCTGTCATATAACAGCTGTACAATCTTATCACACTCAAGAATGTCTCCCCCTCATTATTTGAATTTTTATTACTGTGTACTTGTTTTTAGTTTTCACACATTAATAGTTTTAAAATAAAGTATTAGCATGTTGCTTACTGTGAATAATTATATAATGTAAGGACTCCTGTACATGAATTTTATGATGAAACTATATTGTGTAAGTATATTGCTATTCTTCAATAGTTCACCTATCACAGTAATATTTATGATGTCATGTCATCTGTTTTTTACTTACATCACTATCAACTTAGTTGAGATGAAGTATAGTTGTTATTTGTTCATAGTATAGTGGTTTAAATTGCTAGTATTTTTTACTCCAATCATACACTAGCTAATATTAAAGATAATACAGGTATACCTTGCCTTACGTCGGTAATTGGTTCCAGGAGAACGACGTAAGTCGAAATATGCCTGTACTGCAAAAAATTACAATTCCCGGTTCTGTATTTTATTTATTAATGCATTTTTAATAATATATGGTTAATAAAAATCTATTTTAAGCTTACAAACAAATAAATTTTAGTTTTTAATATGGTACAGAAAAAAAGTAATCTAAATTTACGAATGCATGTACTGTAAATACAGTAATACTTGTATATATTTTAATATGATTATATGTGCTTTAAACGTTTTTCTAGTGATATTACGACTTCAATATTTGTGGCGGACAGACGTAAAGTCAAATAAAATGACTTAAATTTGATTTTTATTTTCCCATATACTTTTTTGACAAACGACGTATAATCGGGAACGACGTAACTCGAAACGACGTAAGTCGAAATATGCCTGTACTGCAAAAACCAGAAGGCAAACAACACTAGAGAATTACAATTAATAATTATGTTAATAAATTTTAGATTTATACAATTCTTAATTGTTTTAACATGTCCTTTTAATGTCAAGATCAATAAAAATAAATTTTTAATACGAAATTTATAGTCTTAATGAAGTAAATGCAATACATCTTTAACAATGGATAAGGTTAGATTGTTAAAGGTGTATTGCTTACTTAATTAACTACAGTAGTTCAACCTTTATTATGATCTTATTCATTTAACTCATTTTACATCATCAGTATAAGTGAGTTACAGAGACAGATTCTAATGTATAAATACTTTTTGAATATATAGTTTTATCTTATCCATTTATTACAAAGGAAACCATTTCCAAAAGAGAAACTGTATCCATCTCTTTTGCATGTATTACTACTTACAAATTTAACAATCATTTAAAGAATAATTTGCTATCACATCATATCACTAAATATTTTTTTGTCTAAACCAAAAACAGGTTTGTTAAAAATATACATGTAATATTTTAATATTCTACAATAATATAAATCTGAGTTACGCCTATACTAAGATCACAAGAATTATGTACAATTTATGAAAATATTTATAATGAATTATACACTTACATGCAAAGTGACACACACAAACTACATAATAAATATCTTAGTTAATAACATATAAATACATAACATTTTAATGGCTCTTTAAAATTTGATAAAACTTAAAACTTTGTCTTATCTATTAAAATTTAAACTTGACAGTTTTATGATTCTTTTAGACTTACGTAACTACTTTATTCTTATATTTATTTTTACAGAAGCTGGAAGAATTACAAAAATCAGGATTAAAACTTTATTATTAACGTTTGTAAGTATCAAAACAGACAAGAGATGCCGACACCCCAAAATACATATTATAATAGAAAAATGTTCGTCTAATGCCTTTCTAGAAACAAGTATCTTAAAATGATTCAAGAATATAAAAATGTAAAATTGTGCATCTTATTGTTTTATTCTGTATTATCAAATATTTTGTATTGATCAACGTCAAAACACGCATACATACATACGTATTACGACTCTCGATATCTAAGCGGCGTAGCATTGTGTCAATGCATAATGTAAAAAAATTACCCAATTGAAACACTCAATTTTATAACCACTTCATAACCATTCTATAATTTATAACCATTTTAGATGATGTCATTTAGTGTTTTTTAAATGGCATTCTATTCTGGAATGATTGTAATCTTGAAGAAATAATTAAAAATGAAGGCAAGAATACCAATTACTTTAATCAAAATTTGTTTTTTCATTTGTAAAAATTTCCAACTTCACACCTGGAAAACAAAGTTTGCAGTAGATATTTAAAAGGCTAGACTTAAGCTTATATACAGCAGGACAATTACCAACATTAAAGTTATAAATCTACTCAATTTCATAATGTTAAATTCAAATTAAAAGTAATCCATTTCACTATTATGTCTGTTCATGCTTAACAATTTTTTATCTTTTTTTTTTTAATTAAATGTTATGTAGTACTTACTATATCATTCTTCGTTTTATACATATTCACAAAGCAAGTAATTCATAGAAAAACTTTTAATTTGATTTAATTTAATTTGTTTTTATTAAAATACGAATCCTTCGAATTTCGAATATCTATCGTGGTCTTGACATAAACGCCATCTATCAATTTCTTAGTTGAGGAATGGAGAATGACTGATCATTTTTTTATTTATTTTGTCGCTTCGTTTATTATTCTAATTCTTTTATATTTTTATTTTAAAAAGAAAATAATAAAAAATATATGTACTCAATTTGTTATATAATTACAAGGAAGTTAAATTAATAATCGAATTTCCCAATTTGGCCGCAAGGGTAACAGTGTAAAATAACTTCGTGTTTCTATAGTGTGTGAATCCGAGTTCGATTTCCATTTGGAGTTGGCCTTATCCGCACGACATTTTTTTTTTCGAATAAATGATTTTAAATTTCTACATGTTCTATTTATTTGAAAAATTTCATGTTCATGTAATATTTTAATTATGTGGACTTATATTATTTATACAACACAAAAATATTATTTTTATAAAAAATATTTATTTTTCAGTTTTTAATAATAGAGTATTTCTATTATAATGAGAATAGCAGTATATTGTAGAGAATAACAAAGATAGCAGAAGGGAATCATTTTAAATGATTTAGCATAATCTAGAAAGAATCTCTGGCTGTAAGGAACAAAAATTAACATTGCATCAGTAGCGTGCCGTCATTGAAAGCGGTGGATGCGCGCTTCCCTCGTATTTTCTAAAAAGTAAATACATATTAATTTTAATTATACGAAAATAATCGCGCAATATTTTGTTATAATCGCATTACGTATCTTATTACAAATTTCTATACTACGCGTGAAAAAAAAAGATAAGATCGCTATTGTATATTCGAATATTAGTGGCAGAATGGAAGCGTCGTATCGTCGGCATCCAAAAAGCCAGATTCGCGCACGCGCTTTACGGAGCACCAACTTCACCCGGTTTAGCCGTTGGAAGCCTAAAACCTCGGGTGGTCGCTACACGTATATCGCATCCAATTCTATCCGGGACTGGTTCCGGGCCAATAGCCGCCCTCGCCCGACTACGCGACTACGAAAATACTGTAATATTAGTCACATGTATTCACAATTTATAATTACAAAGATCAGCACACGTACAAGTCTATCGTTGAAGAATTCTCGCACATCTGAGGATCTGACCCCGCCTATCCTTCTTTTTAAGCGCTCGTCTTTGCTCTTCCCTTTCTCTTTCCTCTATCGCTCTAATCCATGTAT